CACCGCCTCTCCCCACATCAGTGGATTTCGCTTCGTACATGAAAGAAAACGAATAAATCAAAGTAATTTTCGAAATATTCAATGTTTGGAGGTAATTTAGGGTACTGTATCAGAATTTCGGTGAAAAGGGCATGTAGTAATACTGAAAGGCAATATGTGTTAGATTTCGCTCCGTTGAAAGCATTTTTGTCTCGACTGTTTTGGGAGAACTACAAACGTCTCCATCTACCGGAAGTTATTCATGAGCCGAGACCATTTCTAGTACTCTTTCCATTAACATGCTCGTGAGAGTTAAAAAAGGAACGACGAATATTCGAGTCAAAAATGTACTTCCGCTGAGAAAACTTCTTCAAAGTATATCTGTTCTTTTAGTTGACCAAAAATTAATGGTTATGTATATGTTAGTACATAACTATTTCATTGAACAAAAAATCCAGAATATCACGATATAAGCTATTGGCCGGCGGCTTTTGGTATGGAGACCATATGGGCTGCCATCGCCCCACGGGCACGCATCACTGGCAGTCCATATGCGCTGCCAGCCCCACGGGCACGCATCACTAGCAGTCCATATGCGCTGCCACCGCGTGAATGTGTTAGTTTCAGTTGCAGTGTCGTTAGAAACGCTTGTTATGTTGTTACAGTTACATATATGTGAAATTAGTTGTTATTGTCGTGATTAATGTGAATTTTGTGCCTTCAATTTCTTGCAGAGTTTTTAATTGCCAGTCACATGGCTTTGCATATGATTGATTTTGCTATAAATTGCTTGTAAATAAGGTTTTCATGCGATCGATGGTTTGCAAACCGCGTATATCATGAAATTTGATAGTTATGTTTAGGATGACTATACTCCTATTACTAGATGTGTCAAATGTGGCAACGAATTCGATATGGAGTTCGGTGGAAGCCAGCAGAGCGCCTTGCTCTTGCAGCGCGAGCGCTTGATTTGACGAAAGTGAAATCGGTTGACATTTCACTGGATCCATTCCATAGCGGAAATGCATCAGTAAGGTTAGTTTTTTCGAGCTTCATTTGAATAATGAAATACGTGGACCAGTTGATATTTCTTTTTTTTACTGTCGTAATTCTTCTCGCTTTTTTCTAACAGATGTTCTTTATTCATCTCAGGAGGTTTTGGGAGTGCATCATGAGTCCGAAGGTTAGGATGACGAACCCTACCGTCAAAGTGTCAGCTGAAGTTCGTAACGATCGGCAACCTCCATTCTTCATTGCTACTTTAGGTTGTTTAACTTTATACATTTACCATTAGTCAATGTATTGTTCCTATATCATCAGTTCGGTCGACGGATTATTTGAACTCGGCCCTTTAAACCACCTGTGCGTTCTATCGCGGGTCCCTCTCCTCTCCAAGGCTTAGTCCTAGGGCCATTGCGGAAAAATCAAGTAGTCCGTAAACCAGGCAGTAGTAGTAAGGTAAACACTCATTTGATTTTCAAACGTACAAACTTGTTGTACCACATCTCGGGTTGCAGAAATACTTTCGTAGATCTATTGGATCCGCTCCTATTTTCATTTATTGAAGTTTGTCTACCGGATCTGGGGTCCAACGTTCCGAATATCCCATATGCCATAAAGATACTTCTAATTTTACATTTTTAGATAATGGGAAGAAACTTCTCTTCAAAACTGACAACATGCCTGCAATGGATCTGATCATGCGGTTTAACAAACTACTAGGAAACCCGGAACTGGGTAAATCTGGAACTAGACCGCGACCCAAGCTATGATAAAGTAGTGCTCGTTTTCTACCTTGTATATTCATTTTTGTGACTATACGTCACATTGTATGTTTTCTAGATTGTACTTAGACTTGTTTCTAGTTGACTCTCCCTTTGTTATTTTTCACTGTTATTTCGCACGCTCTTTCTAGTAGAATTTCTACTAGTCAGGAGGCACTCAATAAATTATGGCGACATCTATGGATATCAGTGAAAGCGTTCACACGCCCTGGAGTAGGCGACTATTCTTTACCTGTTTTAATGTTTGCTGTTGATAGACTAGAATAGCTACTGAGAGATAAATAACATCATAAATGAAGAGGACGCATTAGATTGAGGCTAGAGCATTTAGGTGTCCGATTCAAATCCTCTCTTAGTGAATAGTGAAACTTGAAACACCTTGCGCATATGTCATACTTCGTAAGGGTATGTGTTCATTGACTCATCCTGGTTCAATTGTGCTCTTTTAGGGTGCGCGATGCATTCGAACACCTTAAGAATCGTAGTAACATTTGAATGTGATTTGGCCTATAGAATGAATTGCAAGGATGCCAATGTACAAGTCAGCTTCTACTTCACAGAAAAGTTTGGTACCAATTAGCCAACCTCGTAGACGAAAGGCTCAGTTGGCGCGAGATCTAGGATTTGATCCCTGGGACGTATGCCTGGTAAGCAGCGCACTTGCCACCGTACCACTTCCGCCTTTCATCACAATAGAGACTCTAGAAGTTAGTATGCGCAGCATTAATCAAGGAACTGATATACAACAAATCCTGCTTGTTAAAATGCTGTAAATGCTGAAGATAGAGGGGTAAATAGTTTGTTTTTAAATCGTTAGTTAAATATTTTTTCGAGATGTTCCTAAAATTAAGCTCCAACTCAGCGCCATAGTTTCAAAAGTGTATGTGCCAAAAAGCTGCTTATTGTAAGTAGGAGGTAGGGAGCACTCAGTCGCTTAGTTTTTGAGGTTCTAGAAGCATGGCAAATGTTTTTTTTTTTTTGAAATATGTTTGATCCCTTTTTTGCAGAAGCAAAACGGTTCATACACCTTATTCCCCGGCGGAATATTCGATTTAGGTGAGATGAGCCCCTGACCGTGGTCCCTCCCCCCACTGCGAGACCGGATCGTCTAACATCCCCAAGCGCATCCAACCATGCGGAAGAACACGGCTGGTTAGTTTATCTCCACATCAATCAAACCGAAACTGCTAAAGTGGATTTCCCGGCATTTGAGCCAATTTAGGTTCGGACTCTACTCCATCTACGTGATGATGACGCTCACCTTTCCTCATCTTCATCTTTGCAGTGCGAGCAATTTATATATGGTGAGGGGCCACTAGGGGTTACAAGTCAAACCAGCGCGCTCCACTCTACTGCTGTGTTGCTCTATGATCGTATGAGCAATCACATTCTGATCCCAGTGGTGATGACGGATCCTGTCACTCCTGTCACTAGAGTGGTGGAAATTTTCTGCCGGCTTCTTACTTAGTATGAAGAATTGTTTGTGTGTGTTCATCTTATATTTCACGAGTGATAGGGAGTGAAAGCTTCCCATTCGTTTAGGATCGCTCTAGACTGTATCATTTGATGTCAACAATATAGCCGTGAATGTTGTGGAATGTCAGCCCAGCAATTAGGAATTTTCGTTCGGTCACAACAGAACATAACGTGATTGAAGTAGGTTACCCATGAACTTAGGCTGGTGTCAGAGTCCGCGATCCGTCGCAGGTTTCGCTGATTTTCGCGATTTGCGCGATTCACGCGACGGGTCACGGAAATCACAAGTGCCCGATCAATACTGCAAGGTGTTCTCCAATCCTGCCGCCACTTCTGCTTGATAGTGATGGCTGAATGACGACTGCTCTTCAGTGTTTCAAATGTTCACACACTTGCAATTTTTGCGATCCGTCGCGTGAATCGCGCAAATCGCGAAAATCAGCGAAACCTGCGACGGATCGCGGACTCTGACATCAGCCTTAAGGAGTGTTAAGGTTTGTGACGTTTTATAGGAAACTCAACTTCTTTGGGTTACCAACACAAATTATGAGTGAAACTCGTCTTGTTATTCAGATTGCAAGGACATGTGTCCATAAGTGCTGTTCGCGTTTGCAATGGACATATGTTGGCTGTGATCGATGAGCGAACTGTATTACATCCAGTCGCTTTCCACCAACAATAAATATACCGGTTAGGGTTATTTTTTGTATCAAAATTAGACAGCAGGCTGCACCTTTCTGACACCATCTGACCGACTACGTAGGGATGGAGAGCTTGGTTGACCTGGACGACGTTCGATTCGAGATTTGATCCCCGCACCGTGCACGTAGGAAGTAATGCCACTTGCCACTGCACCACTTCACTAGCAACTTCTTAGGGTAGAATCCTACGTCACATGTGCATGCCTTTGATCCTTCCATGTTCTTGGATGTCATGTGCGTTATTCTTAAAAGAGAAAAAATGAGTTAGAAATTGGAAAACACGCAAATAGCCAACATGACCCAGCGAATTTCCAGTCATGACAGAATGCTTACAGAAATCAAGATCCCTACTGGACCAGGAGATGCGCTCGGTAACATCTTCTTATCTCCCCTTGGACAACACTGTTTAGCTACCACTAAACAGGGTGAGAATTACTACGTCCAAGTGAAATCTGGAGTTGCCTATTCACTGAAGAAGATAAAGGTTGGCACCTCTTCTGTACAATACTTATTTGTGTGATATCTGTATGAAATACATGTGAAAATCGTCCAGATGTGCAAGCTGATAGTTACGCTTAATCAGTTCATTTATTTGCTTTATAGGAGTCTTTGGGTGAGAATAATTTCTCGTTACTTAGGGCGTTTTGAGTAGTGTGGCATGGAATCCAGAATGCATCAAGGAAGGCGAAACTGGACACATCCTGCTGGGTACTACACAAGGTCAGAAATTAACCGTTAACATTGTAGTGCACATTATTGGCTGCTTTACTAATCTTATTGTGAGCGCCTAGTTATTCAACTTACCAGGGAAGGCATTCAACTTCCCATGGAACTTTGAATTGAGACCCAGATATATCGATAGAGCTTCAAACGCTGATTACAAATATGGAAACTAAAACTGCAAAATGAACCTGCCAAGGAAGTTGTGAGCAGTCAAAGTTGGCTGGAAGTAAAGCATTACATATGAACCGTGCTAGCTTCCGGGCTTTCAGAGTCGCCGTGGAGTAGTGGTAGTGCTCTCGCTCTCCAGCCGGAGGTCGTGCATTCTCTTCCGTTGGAGTGCAACTTTCGAGAGCACTACCACTACTCCACGGCGACTTTGAATGCCCGGACGGTACACGATTCATATGAAACGCTTTATTTCCAGCCAACTTTGACTGCTCACAACTTACTTGGAGAGTTCATTTTGCAGTTTGTAGTCAGTGTTCGAAGCTCTATCGAAATATATGGGTCTCGATTCAAAGTTCCATGGGAAGCTGCATGCCTTTCCTGGTCAGTAGTAAAACTGCAATACGAAGATAATGTTGGATATTAAGATTGTTCGCTGATTTGATCCTTTACACGGCTAATTCATTGGTAGACCTACCCCAGCACTACAACCCCTTTCCCTTCAATATTGAAAGATATGTTGCGCTTCTTACAAAAACGTTAACCGGACTAGAATCGGCCGAGCTTTTTATGGAGGATAGTTTATGATCAGGAAATTTGTTTTGTCTCTCCCCCTTGGAATTGAGCTTTGAATATTTTGATGATCCTCCTCCTTTAATTGTGGAAGGCGATGGTTACGTTACGACTGTTTGTATACAGCGCATCAGTATAGTGCTCGTATTCAGGTGCAATTATCGAGACCATGGTTTCATCGACTGGTGTGGTTAGCTTTGTGAAGGAACATTCCACGAGCTTTGGTGGCGAGAAAAATCTCAGTATTTCTGACATTTATCTGTACATGCTCAACGATGATAATCCTAAAGCAGCAAAGTGAGTTATTTGAAAACCGGCCAAGTATAGTATTTAAGTACTGGTATTTCCTAGGTGGCTTATGTTAGTATGTCAGCCTGGCCGGCTGTGCTCCGTCTATGCTTCCATCGATATGTCTCCTTCTCCAAAAACGAACTACATTGGGGCGGCAAATCTGCAGGCTGGTTGGATTACAATGCCGGAAGCGCCTCTTCATATATTCCATCCATTTTTCTCAACCAAAGGTTATTCCATTAGGTCTTTTTTGTCAAGCTGCTACTGATGGTTTCTTTTATGTTTAGATTCTCAACAAGTATGCATGTCGATGCAGAGTACGGCTTCATCACAAACTCTCCCCGACCTCAGTGCACTCCTGGTATATCCTCCTCACGGAGAAGCAAACCGTTTTCTCTGGCTGGGTCCTAGTGGGATAACAATTGGGAAAATTAGTCTTTTCGCCGACAAACCTCGAGACATTGTTGAAGAAGAAGACCACATGGAGTAGGTGGCTTGGATTCTTTTTTTCTGTGCTTGAAGTTTTTCAGTAATAGCCGCTTGTTATATACTCATTTGTCTACCTTTGTCTACTTATTTGTTACTTTCATAAAATTGAGTTTATAACATCCATTATGGGACGCACTGTTGCAAAAGTGTGTCCCATAATGGATATTAGAAACTCAATTCTATGAAAGTGTAGCAGTAATGGAAGAACTGGTCTAACAAAAACAATAAAACGAGAAAGAGAACTATTAAGGTTTTTTTTAGCCAAATGCTTCAGATGCGTAGGCAATATGTTGGTCAAGTTCTCTGTGTCAAGTTGAAAGTTTCCAGGCATCGACGTTTTGAGGGACGGCTTGAGCGTCCCACTGGCGTATCGTTGACCGAATATCACATGCTTTTAGCCTACCCTAATCGGTTAAACGCTTTATCGATCTACACAAAAACTGTAGTATATGAGGACATCTGGCCAACGGTGCGTTTATGGAAAGATGACTGGGAATATTGAGAATGAAGAGGTTCTCTTATCTTATGGAATTAGGTTGCACCTTTTACAGGAGTTTGGTAATTCCGTGGGTCTGGTAAGCGATCCGACATCGGAGTTCCATTGGCTCTTCACCAGTCATGTTACTATGAAATACAAGCCTGTAGACGAGAACAGGTTAGTTTCGAGCTCCTTAAAACCCTTACATTTCCTGTTACTTCGAATGAGTATCACTTTTTTGATTCTTTTGAAGGTATGTCTGGAGAGTGTTCCTCGAGCGTGGAGACTATGCCAAAGCTCTCATGATAGCCAGAAGCAGGTTAGAAATCGATCCTGAGGCCCACGAGTTGGTTCTGAAGCGGCAGGCTGACAAATACATAGCCGAGAAAAAGTGAGTCTTTTTTGACTTGTTTTGTTTGTTAACTGCTGTTTTAATGGCCGCAGTTCGCGTTGCGAATGTTTCACAAGAATGCTGGGTTGTGAACAAAACTTTCGCCCCAGGCGGGACTAGAACCCGCACCTCTCGCTTTCCGGGCAAGTGCGCTACCAGTTACGCTACCGGGGCACCGTTTCACTCAGCTTTTCTGAGTTTTTTCTTTTCATTAACCTTGAGGCGTTTTTATCACATTTTGTTCAGTGCTTTATATTTCCAGTCTAAAGCGTTCGTGTAGTGAATGTATTCACAGCTCTAACTGCATTTTTGAGCCAATGCTTATTTTTCTTGTTTTATGAACATCCCTAAGTTACAGATTAGTTTTATGCTCAGTGAAAATACTATCTGAGAAATTCCAGTTTCACGGCAGCTGCGGAGATACTCGCTCAGTCCACTGAGGCCTTCGAAGCTGTTGTCTTGAAATTCATGTCGGCTGATGATCCTAGACATCTTGGGCTGAAAACGTTACTGGAGAAAAAACTGGATGGAATGTCACGTCCTGAGGTAAGGTTTGAATCGTCACGCCGCTTTGGAGACCGTTTTGTCCCACATTTCCAATATTAGCTATGTAATACAGTGTAGCAAGTTCTCAATAATGTGACACACCATTACTTGACAAGAGAACCTATATCAATCAGATTGATGCCACATCAAACAATAATTTAAGCACCCCAGTATAACAGTGTTTGCAACACGGTGTCCGGAGCAGGGTGAATAAGGGTTGAGGAATTCTCGACCATCGCTCTCTGCTGTGCGAGAGTAGAGCCGATAGTGAATGTACGCGCGGAGAGCACAGACGGCTCGCGGTGGCGAGAGTGAATATCCGCGCGCGAGAACGTAAAGGATCAGGCGAAAATCCTCGACGTGCCGTTGAGGAATCCTCAAGCAATATTCACCCTGGTCCGGAGAAATGCATAGCAGACGGCGTTTATCCGCAAGAGATAGGGACATTTTCTAGGAAAAGCCTGTGTGGGTGCAGAACTTCGGGGAGAACGAAAAGCTTCTGCACCCTAAAGTCCCTTTCGCCCCTCCTTTTACTCCAGATTTCAAGAAAAGGAAATGTTCTACGCGGTCCAAAATGCATTGTCACCACAGTGGCCTCGTATCCTGATAGTGCCTGTCGGACTCTCAGAAGACACGACAGCGGGTAGTTGAGCAAGGGGCCAACAGAATGTAACCCTCGGGGGGGGGGCTTTCGGTCCCGTTCTCAGCCGATTCAATAAGCCATCTCTTTATTACACAGGCCTTTCCTTTCTTATCTTGCCTTGTTTTAAGTATTATTTTGTATTTCCGTTTTATATACATTTCTGACCATGGTCCGACCGAATGTCCGACGAATGTTTATACGACAAGGATGTTTAAATTCTATTTGCCTGGTTGATGATATAAGCGTTGGGAAAGAGAATTTGTTCTAGGATCGGTTACGTCGTGAAATGTTAGTGATATGGCTTTTGGAAATCCAGCTTGCCGAATTGGCCGAATCACGTCGCGAAGGTCGTGAGCAAGAAAGTGCTGATCTTGCAACTCATTTGCAGCGTTTTCTTATGAGAAAGAATGTGCATGTAAGTTTTCTGAATACGCATGATGGTACCCAAATTTTCTGATCATGACTCAATTTTCAAGGACAGCGTGGTTGTCAATAAAGATGCTGTTTACAACCTGATGGCATCTCATGCGGATTTTGACTCCCAGTTGTTTCTTGCTAAACAAATCGGTGGTAGGGCTTGTTTTTTTTCAATGAACCGGTATGGCGTGCTCACTGAAAAATTTCATTTTAGATTTTGACAGAGTTGTTGACATCCATCTGATTAGGGAGCACTACATGGAAGCATTAGAAATCTTAAAAAGCCAGGCAGGTATTTAAATCGTTGACTCCCTCTCTCACACATGTATGTATCACCACAATGTATCGTGTATAGATATTTGGTCAGTTTCCCTTTTACAAGAAGGATGGTAGGATGAAGTTCTGAGAGAATGAGATGTATGTGAGATAGGACGTATTCAGAAGTTTTTCTTCTGCGTCTGCTGAATATGGCTTAAAAGATGCAGTTTTTACAGTCATTATGTTTTGATGGGTTCAGCATGACCGAGGGGGTGGGTAAACATGGTACGAGCCGATTTTCGACCTATGTCCGAACGTGACTATCATTAAGGTGATGGAATAAAGGTACAACATCCACCCAATATTCTCTGTTGATCGAGGTAACGCAATTGATGAGGAAAAGATCATTCTAATATAGTAAAAACAAGACCGACGCGAGAGGGGGGCATATCTCTCGTTGCACGAGCCCTGCAGGGCTGAGGGGAATGTTCCCTCGAGCAGGGTCAACTACGGTTGGTATAAGTACCAAGGGGGTCTTACTCGGTTTAGCTTGGAGGGGGGGGTAACCGCTTCAGTTTGTGAGGGGGGGGGGTCGTATCCGCTTCAGTTTGTGGTGAAACTCGAGCTTCCACGAGTAGTAGGCTAGGTGAGTTGGAGGCACGGGAGAAAAATTCGCCGCTTCAGCGCGCGTATACCCCCCTCTTCCCCTAGAAAGTGAAGCAGTGGGATGATTATAGGTAGAGTTGGGGTAAAGTGGTTGAAATTTGGGGAATTTGGGTAAATTTTTGCTGTAAATAGTGGGCGGAGTTTGGTGGGTTGGGTGGTATCAGATTAAATACTATAGAGACGATGATGGTGGTCGAGGGTCGAAAAGGGGATCGTATCAAATCCACCTTGGGGGAGGGGGTCGTAAAGCAATGAGGAATTTGCAAAAGGGCTGGGCTATAAGAGGCTTTCAAATAAGTTCGTGCGCTTTTTCTCTTGCGAAAAATGTAACTTCTGCGCATCAGTACATACTAAAATTGATTTACAAGAAGCTCATTGCTTTTCCACAATGCATCAATAACCTATACCATTTATCCGGAGGAATTCCAAAGGTGAAAAGAACCACAAATTAAGTATTGGCTTCTTCGGAAAGATTCCGCCGATTTCGATTCTCGAATTCGGAGGAACTACGAGGGAGCTCTCGAAAGAGATACGCATCTATACCGCGAAATGCGATGATGTGCTGATTATGAGCGAATGCACTGAAGATTTTCTTCTACAGAAGCCGTTTTCTTTTTTCGAAGCGCGAATATCGCAAAATCAAAGTGCCCCGAAATAATAATCGCTCAGTAGAAATTATCCTAAATTGAGCTCGAATCGAGTAGCTCGACCGCGACTAGCGTCGAAGTCGAACTGACCAAGCCGTTGGTGAGTCCTAGTCGAGGTAGGGGATCATCCTCGTTGTTTCCAAAGTCGTCTGCAACAGTCCAAGGGGATTATCTGCATGCTGCGGGGGCTTGTGGGATCGGACTGAGGGGATATGCTATAGCTGGTGGGGCTTGGTGTCGGCCCATGGTGCTTCTTTTTACCAGGGGGTCTTGCGAAGTGGTACAGGGGTCCCGAAAAGTCATAGAAGGGGCACATGAAGGGCATAGCTAATGTGTAGTTTTGCAGTTTCTTATACCTTGTTCAATCTTTCGGTTGTAACTATTTAGTGATAGTTGATTGGTGATAACGGGTCATTTCGATTGTTTTTTTTTGTATTTTAGATTGACAGTACTTCCTTTATTCATGTTGTAATTTGTTGTGTGGTTTTCCAATTTGACTGCTATTTCTACGTGTCTAGAACACATGTTTGGATGGTGTTGTGACCCCTAGGCCGTCTCCCTTAATGAGGTCACTTCGCAGTTATCCGCGGCCCAGTTCTTTTTAGGTTGTGAATCGTACAGTTCTATGACCCATGATCGGGGAAGGGGCGTTCTGAGTATCGACTCGTATGCAGGGGAACGCGACTCTCACTATGCATAAGCGCGCATGTGTGGTATGTTTGCACGCGATGTTCGTATTACGAAGAATTTGGAGAGCTGGTCAGTATTGGATTGAGGGTGGGGATCGGCAGGGGTGGAACGCGATGAGCCAGACTAGCCCCGATGGGCGACGATGCCGATTGAGCGATACGACGGAGGGGACGGGACGATTTGGTCGCAAAACAGGTGTCGAAAGTTGGCGCAATGGGTAAAGTTTTCAGGGCTTCCAGGTCGAACTAGGAAGACCCACACGTGATGACCGGACGTTCTTTTGATGGTTCCCAATAAAAAAAAATCATAGCTCGATCACAAGGTCAGCAAAAATTGGTGTGGATACTGATTTTCTAACGTCAGCCATTAGGACTTCAGTGAGCCGGCTCCTACAGGGGGCGTATATCCTTATGAGGGTGGAGTTTTTTCTTGGCTATTGACTTTTTTGATTTTTTTTTGACTGACGAGGAGGAGGGATTTAAGCCCTTATGATTTGCTGAGTACGCACTTGGCCTGGTGGGGTTAGGATTTAAGTAGCGCTGTTCAATTGATTTTTCATTGCCAAACTTAACTTGTTGACAAGAGTAAAAGTAGCGATGTGGAATTTCAGAATATTCCGGAATTGTACTACACCTATTCTCCCAAGTTGGTGAAACACATATCAATGGAACTTTTCGCCTCTCTTATTGGTAATGAGCAGGTGCGACCGCAACGAATGCTGCCAGCGTTGTGCCTTTGTCAAGAATCAGTAGGAATGGTGAGTTTTACTGCAAACAAGGGCAGCAAGGCTTGCTAACTCCATACTTCTATTATATTTACGGGGTTATATCACTTAATGATAGTTATCTTAAGAGGCTGAGACGGTAGTTCATCTGCGAATTTCATTAGATTTTAGCTCGCTATTGAGGGATTATTGTCACTGCTGAGTGCATAGGATGAGTTGGACAAAAAATAGGTCGACAGCATCAAGGGATGCGTATTTTGTCATTAGTTGTTGTTTTTTAAATTGTCTTTACCGAGTGCATACGGCTGCTTGGCCCAGTGTGGATTACACCCGGCGGACGTTTGCTCCGAAATTTCGAATTTTTTTCTGAGATTTTTCACAAAGTAGACTGAAGTGTCTGGAATTATTACAACTTATTTTTGGAGCTGTAAAGTTCCTACTCATATGGTCTTTTTCGGCAATTTCATAGTTGCTCTCTTTGTAGGTAGATTATATGCGATTTGCGACGACAGTTCGAGCTAACACCTTTGTCGTCATTGAAATTCCCATCTGATCTTATCGTCCGTTAATCGCCAACCTCTTGCCAGGTGGTTGTGTTGGCTGACAAGCGCGAAGCTTTATGTGGCCGTGTAGAAAGAAACCTAAGGAGTCACGTTCCTCGATTCTGGGCCGCCGGCTGTTCTTAGGTTTACAACTGGGAACACTTTTCTAGTTTATAAACTCAATTTTGTTGTTTAATTCCACTTCAAAATGGTTTCTAAATATGATAACAGTATTGTTTCTTTATTCATTTATCTACTTAGCTTTAAATAGGAGCATTAATACTTAGGCAACTCACGCGCTAAAGTACCTTGAATGGGCTGTGGAAACGCGTGACGCGTCTGGAGATGTTGCTCTTCACAACCTTCTCCTTCTTTTGTACGCTCGATTTCGGCCTAAGCGACTGCATGAATATCTGACCAAGTGCGGGTTCGACAAGTCGGCTGTGCCTTATGATCTTGATTTCGCGTTGAGAACATGCGAGCAGTACAGTAAGTACCACCATTCTATTACTGCCCATTATGTGATTGCTCTGGAGACCAGGTGAGTCATCTGTATTGCAGAACTGGAGAAATCAACTGTATTCTTGTACTGCGTCTCAGAGATGTTTAGTGACGCTGTCGATCTCGCTTTGAAGGTGCGTTTCCAGCTGGTGCAAAGTTTTTGCCCCTCTGAAATCACGCAATAAACAAATTTGTAGGCGTTCCCCGAAAACGGTGTAACGATAGCCAAGGAGTGCGCTCATATGATGGATCCAGATGAAGAAGATACCATTATGGGGCTTGAACCGAAATTCTCTGTAGATTATAGAAGGAGGATATGGTTAAAAATCGGTGCGTTCTTGTAGTGTTCCTTAAACGAATGTGGAGAAGTGGACGATGATGAGATGTTTAGCTTCATTTGTCATTGGTAAAGGCGAGAATGCTGCAGAAAGTATAGCTCTGCTGAAGGAATCGGGAGATGTTCTGTCTATTCAGGTAATTCAAATTCACTTTTCATACCGCTGTGGTCAATTTAATAATGTTTACCAATTTAAACATAGCCACATGTGAGGGTCAAAACAAAGCCGCCAGTAAGGTTGTGTACAAGGAAATTACTAGAATAAGTCGCTAGTCATGGTTGGAGGGGAACATGTGTCAGAATTCCATTTTCACACAGTTTTGATGAATATTTTTACAGTGACTGTTAATTTGAAGCAGAAATGTAGGGAGATGCGAGACGGAATGGTGGAAGGGAGTGCTGAAGCCACATACCTTTGACAGAAATAAAGAAGAAAGTCACCATAGCTAGGCTTAGATTTTCAATAAAAAGCGAGAAAGGGCAGTAGAAAGAAAAAATACACATTTTGATTGTGTCATTTATCTTTGTATTTCCTTAAATGTTGATTTCAGGATATTCTCCCCTTCTTTCCTGATTTCACAGAAATCAAGGATTTCAAGGATCCTCTGTGTGGTGTCTCAGGAGCATTCAATAGTCCAGGATTCTTTTTCAAATTGCGGTCGTAGCACAGAAGTGGGTTTGATGAGGAAAAAAGCTCTACCTTGGTACATGGTACAGCGCCCGGCGTGCATATCTCACTTTCTTAGATGCCACTTCTTTGCTTTCATTCGTGTTCGCTGCGACTTTGTTACGGGATTTTGCTCGGGAGAAGTCAGAATTGGGTTTAGCCAGAGCTTCAAATCGAATAGGTGGCTCTTCTTTCCAGATCACTAAATTACTCAATGTTTGAGAGGGGAGGCATGATTTCTTGGTAGGGATTGATCGAGATGTATACGACTAGGTTAGTAATTGGAGGTGTTAATTGTCACGCCACGATCGTTCTAGTGTGATAAGTTGTGGCAATCAATGGGATATGTTTAAATGTTTCCTAAATTTTCTGAAAGCCAATGCCGTGTACTTTGAGCTTATTCCAGTTTCGCTTCAGGAACTTCAACAAGCTATGAAAGACGCCACGCTCATGGCACAGGAGATTCGAGAGAAGACTGAAAGGCTTCGAGATCGGTGAATTTTGACTGAAAATAATTTGGTCATATCTTTCATTTGCAGTCCCACTAAAGCCTAATACGGGGTGGGAAACGTCTAGGCTTGACAGGTGTGAGCATCGCGCGAGTTATGCAGCATCCAACAACTGAGATTACGTGTGCGGTACAGCATCTCTGCAATGCTGTGACAGCCGCTTGTAATGTGCATGCAATGCATAGCAAGCATGGCTACGGTGTGTAAGTGTACTCACTAACGAAATAATCGAAATGTGACTTCTGGTTCATGTTTTCGGGTGTCCCATTCTGATTTATTTCAGAACTACATTAGCTGTAAAGAGTTTCAGGGTGACCATCGTGAAAGCTGGAGATGTGTGCGCTAAATGTGAGCGTTCATTGATTGGAAGGCCTTTCCATGCTCACCATTGCCGGCATTTCTTTCATCGAGAGTGTCTGGAGGAAGAGATGATGCCATTTTTGAGCGAGGTTGGTCGAATAAGAATGCCTATATGGATAGGAGCATCCGAGAATTTTATGTTAAAGATTTCACTCGAATAACCATATCATTACTATTTTTCCCACCGCGTTTTTCAATGAGAATTGAGATATTGGAAGTTATTAGATAGTAATATGAGACCTGTTGCAGTTTTTGTGTTAAAACGCCTCTAATAATGTCGTTTTCTTAATATTTGAAATTGCTGGAAAAGCAGTTAATGCTCAGAAATTTTCCTCTTCGTTGTAGGAATTGAAAGCCCGTCTTAGTGACCTTGAGGCAACCGAGAAACGGTTATTTGCGCAACTTCAAGCTGCTGATCGAGTTCCCACAGCAACCGACAAGTTCACCGATGGTGAGTATCTTTTTTAGTTTCACCACCCATTTTCTTCTTAGCTATTCTTGTATTTTATAATTAAAGTTTCCAGAGCGAAAAGCACGCTTTATGAAAGTCACATGCGAAATCAATGAAATAATTGGTACTCAATGCCCTCTTATGTGGTTTGACTGCTATCGAGTAAGTCTTGTGAAAGATTGCTGATTTCTGTAGTAATAGGCCCTATGCGATCCTATTCTACTCCTTATGATTATCTTCCGAATGGAAATTTTCAGGCTGATCGATAAGCCTTTCTTCACGGAGGAGCAGTTTGAAGCTGATCATGAGTCTTGGGAGATCTAGTAGGAGTCATCGCATTGATCAACACACTGTCAATTTTACTTAGTTCTTGAAAATATTGAATACGGAAGTCTTTGTGATATGTAAATACTATTGTTCAGACATGAAAACAGTCTAATAAATTTTATTTTTCCGCTTTCTCTTAGCCCTCACACTTACAGTCCATTCATTCCGATATTTTCTTGCAGCTGATGCTGAGATATTCATATCGTTACGGTCATTTTCATGAATTGCAAAAGTTGACGTTCTCCTTTTTTCTAGTGAATCCAAAAGCCTGGCCTAGTACCTTAAGGCACAACTCAGTATGGGTTCAGGTGGATGAACGTTTCAGTGGTCTATCCTACCTAGAGTTGTTAACGGAGGTTGCAGATGACTGGTTTTCTGTGTTTCTAAGTTCTTAATGAGGGTGCTAGGGCCTGGCAAATATTGCCTCGATAGTTTCCATTTTTTTCATCCACGGCCTATTATATCGGGCATTCTCTCATCCAATGCGCTCTCTCGCCTCTCTCCTCCATGCTCAGTTCGCAGTGCCTTGAAGGCAGAGTGGAGGCAGCTCAATAAAAATCGGTATTCAGTGGTGCAGGGACAAAGAAAAAGCCATGATATACGGCTCGGAAACGAGGAATGGGCTCCTGCTTTACCCAGTAATGACTACATTGATGCGACTCTCATCGGTGATGCACTCTATAACGCTAACCATCTCTGCCAAATGGCTAAAATCAGATGGCGAGCGGTTACCTATCGAAGGAGAGCGTACAGAGGTTCAGCGGCCCTGCTAGGCTATTGGGACATACTCTTCGCTGCGAAACGCGCATCGTCCTGCATCCTTAGAGGGCCTGCCTGCCTTTCTACTAGGTACATTTCCGCGTCTCTGCTTTCTCGCTGCGCGGCGGGCTTCCTGTCGAGTGTCCTCACACTTGGGATTGATTTCCGACCAGGAATGCATCCCAAAGTTGGGAATCTATCTCATCGAGGATGGCTTCATACAGCCTCAGTTTTCCGTTGCTGGTACTACCCGACAGAAAACAAAGACGCAAAAGGGTTCGCGGACGATTCACTGCAAGTACTGTAGCGATTTATCTAGTGTCAATTTAGATGGGATGTACTTGGAAACACTACATAAACGCTACAGTACGCGCTGTCTGTGGGGGGGTGGCAAACAGTGGGGGGCGTGTTGTCGTGTTGGGCCGTCTACTGTCCTTTCGTTCTCTGGCCGTGGTGGCGGACGGTTCCCTGTCGGGGTATCGCTGGCAATTCAGGGTAGGAGCGTTGCAGGGAGAAGACCGGGGGGGGGGTCCGATAGACTGAGTCCGCCAAGCAGTGTCGACAGTAGACCGAGCCTATGACTGGCCGGCACGGGGAGGTGGCGTCCACTCTAGGTGTGTGACTGGTTGTGTAGGTCAGTCTTACGCTACAGTGAGCGGTGTCTGGCAGCAGATCTGTCTTTGAACAGTGCTGGCGCCGGTAACTCAGAGAATTCTCTTGCAAGTTTATCTGAGTGCTTTGGGAATCCATACCCAGTTGAGTATGGCTGCATACAGCCTCAGTTTTCTTTTGCAGGGACTGCCGGTCTAATTACAGCATCAGTGTGCAGTCGTGAAAAAATCGCCACCTTCAATTTGTTCTGGGCAGTTACGGCATTGCGGTTTAGAGGGAATATGAAAGTAATCCCGCTGGTCGACCTGAATGTAACATAGTTGCTATGAAAAATCGTATTACTAGTTTCGAGTTCTACTTCTGTGGTCTAGAATACTACAGATAGATATCACAAAGGGTGTTGATGAGAGCTTTGCTCCATAAAGTTCTGGCGTACAGGCTTTAGGTTTTGCAATTTTATTTCCAGGTTAACGCCGCTTTTGTGTAGGCACAGATTGCCTAGCGCACTGACATGCTGTCGCACACCACGTTCTCTTTCCGCCTTATTGGAAGAGAGATCGAGATTTTATCTGTGAATCGCAGCGCTTAGATCGCATTCGGCTCAATGTTTCGCGTAGTGATGAGGCATCGGTTGCTGTTATCAAAGGACTCGTGAATATTACGCTGAACATACATCCAAACGTTTCACGTAGATTATTAGGTCGTGAAGAAAGTTCTTGCGCTTTTGGACCTTGATTTTCAAATGCCTGTATCTCGGCTCATTCGAAACCTTTTTGATTGGAGTAAAGACTGTTAGAATCCACAAACCTCTGCCAATATAAGCTGTGTTGAATCAGCTCGGTAGTGCAGAATACTGAAGCTCTAGAGTACGACTCAACCTTGGCGGAGGCTCGTTTTCGCAGCATATGTTGATTTTTGTAGCATAAACTTTTTTGGAGGAAGCCAATTCAGACTAGTCGGAAAGTGATGAATTAGTATGCAAACAGGTCTACCGAGTAGAATCGTTCACCCATTTTCGTAGTCCAGTCCTGTCGCAACCTTCTGCACGTGTTGTTGTGGATGTGTGCGTTCTCGATGCTAATTTTCTCTTTCCATTGGACAGCCGGTTCCTAATTATGAGTGAGGAATTTCGAGCATATGTGCCAGAGTTCTAGGAGTAATTTTACACATTAGTACTTTTTCCACCCACATTAACAGATCCACCTGGTTACGAAGAAGCTAGACCAGCCGCTGACCTTATGAAAGTCACCTCAACCTTCCTTCAGTGAAGTTTCACTTTTGCAAAGTTTGTAGAGCCTGATCGCGGTCGATCACTTCACCAAAGGTTCGTTTCTGTAGCAAAGAATCCGTTCTTTGTCGTGCGTCGCAAAATGATCAAAAAGTCAGGTCGTTTTCATGGCATGAAACAAGCTAGAACGCGGCGAACGACCCTTCAAAATGGTGAGCTGTCGCGGCACGCCCTATTTGAATTTTTGGGACTTTCCAGCTCTTCCCGTACAACAAGAAAACACAATGCAAGTGCGATTAGTTTAGGAGGAACCCTCTCAATAGATTTGTGCAAACGTGCTTCAACCAGAACGTTCGACTAATCGTTGGCGTTGTCCAATCTCCGATCACCACCCTCACAATCTTTAGGGCTCTCGCTATTCTTACAAAAGCTTTTTGAACAATTGCTTCAGACCATATTTATTGCGAATCTCAGCCAAGTGCGTCTATAATATCTTGACCTGCTTCCTCTCCATACTGGCCTGCTTTGAGCTAGAAAAAGGAAATCATGCAAATTTGCTCTTGGAGTATGCCGTATTCAAAAAATGACAACTAAATAATAAGGAACATAGCTAGCCTAGCTGTTAGATAGAACAAGAAAAGCTCTTCAAAACCACATACAGCTCATTGGCAGCTTGCTTGAATTCGTAACAAAATAAAGCGTTCAAAAACGAAACACCGAAAAGCGCAAGAACTTTCTTCACGACCTAATAGTAATGCACACATAGAGAGGGGGACTTTGGGAGTGGGGGAGGGGAGGGAAATTCCTGGTATTTAATTAACTCGATCACTCGCCTGGGATTTCCTCTACCTTCTCGGTATTATTATCATTCATCGAGCTCACAATCCTTTTTTTCGCACCGAAATCGTAAAACACACATAAACAAAATGCAACATAAAAAATCCGAAGGATGGTGTCCACACGAGCGTCATGGCTTGTAATAATTTGTAGGTCTTCATGTGCAGAAGTAGCACTGCTTCCAGGGTTAACATCGCGTCGAGAAAATGACCGCGGCAGTACATCCCACCACAGCGGAGCTCTTCTGCCCTCCTCCCCTTTTGAGATGGTTGATGTGGTTAGTGGGCAATTGTGTTGTTGAGTTGTTGAGTCTGGCTTAACCATTAATTCGCTCTCAGAATTTTTTTCTCGAATTGCCGTCAAGAAGTGGGGCGGGAGCGGGATATGTAAGCGTTAAAGCGAACTTTCACTCATTTCATGTTTTTTTTTTCGCCTATTCCAAATTATTCCCATTGACGACCCCCACGAGCCCCAAAGACGGCTCCATTCTCCAAACAAGGCCGGCAAATGGATGCGACCTCCATCAAAAAATCTTCAACCATGGCTCTCCCTGATTACGTAGAGAACACGGGATCTTTGCACCCACTTCCTCCCCACCATTGGGCAACCGCGCCTCACTCTTCATCGATTCTATGCGACATTTTACCAATAGAAGTATACTTACATTCGAAAAAACCTAGTTGTGGATTACCACGCCTGAAAAAAGATAGAGGAGGGTCTTATGAGGGAACTCTTCCAAGACATGAATCGCTTTTTCGAAACGGATTCCTGCATGCTATAGAGACACGCACAGGCAGCAAACTGCGAATACATCGTTTTTTGAGCGGTTCTGGGAATGCTAAAAAACATGTGGAAGCCAGGGCTTGTGGTTCGATCCCCAATAAAGATAATTTTGTGCATTTCTCTATTTCCATTTTCTTTCATACAGGTCCAAGTTTATTCAGTGAACAAAAAGCTTCCAATATGTAACTATTAAGCGCTACAAATGCTGTAGTGTTCGTTGAGAATGGAAAGGTTTCATTTTCAAGTGAAGGATTTCTGCCCTTTCTATCTCTGGCAATCTCAGGGCCGTTCAGAAAGAATGATGATCGGTTTTATGTTCCACGCATGTGTCCCTCTACCACTTGGGACAAACTGTTTTGAAAAACGCCCCACTATCTCTGAAAGACTTTCCTGGTTGGTAACTGGCCAGCTCAGAAAACCAGCCGTTGACACATAGTCGAGGTAGGAGTTCGAAGGGCAGACTCCACGCAATGAAATAGAAATCCTGTACGCAAAAGAGGGGGATGGATTTTGCAACTGGTCGGCACAGTATAGTAATATAAGCGAGTTAACCGCCTCGCTTGGACCGAATGCTTTCTGATAGTTTAGCCGCGAATATAGTCAGATTTATTAATAATGCTGACTTCGAGATCAGTCCAGTCGAGTATCTTCAGCGGAGGCGTAGGGGCCCAGAGGTGACGGCTCCGAAGAGGCGAGGTAGGTGACGGAGGCGTAGGCCGGAGTCCACACGTTGCAGCGGAGATGCTCTCTCGTAGTCGCCGATCGGAAGCCTTAAGTA